CGTTTTGTGTTCAGGTCAGTTCTTTATTGTGTGGACATGGTTTTCTGTCGAACCTAAGTCCATCCCTCGCAGAGTGTTTGYCGTTTGTCGGTTTTTACTTGGGCTTAATTCACTCTTGAATGCTCTTTTGTATGGTTTGATTAGCAAAGAAATACGAAGTGRTGTGATTTCTTTATGGAAAGAGATTTTTCAAAGATGTCAGTGCAAAAATGATGAAAATGACAGTGCCTCAGACTGAGATGAGTACTTTCGATTCTTGAGTGCGGTCATCAGAATGGCTAGAACTATCACTTAAGTCAATTTSCTCTCTCATAAAAATGCTTATTATCTGTTCTACTAAATATATAATTTGTTTGCCTCATGCGCGGAAGGAATTAAAAAGGTTTGCTGAGTTCAAGAGAMCACTGAACTGTTATAAATAAACACTTTTATCGTGAGGAACATTTAGCATTGTTATTACATCGATTAAACGGAAATTCATTAAAGCCTGTTTTCCACTTTCCTTTTTTTCATGAAATGAATAGAATTAGAAAAATTAGCATAAGGAAAATTCTATAGGMAAAAGGATAGAATATGGCGGCTGGATGAATAGCTGAGTACTTTCATCATTTAAATTTGGAGCAATTTTTGGGTATAATTAGATATTTCTACTTGATAATGTTAATTTATTTCTCTATTACATTAATTATTACTTAATCTTTTCAAATGTCTAGAAACATAAAGATCTACACTGATAGTTTTCTCGCTTTATTTTTTATCATAAACAGAGTAATAATCCGATGGTATGGTAGTAGAAGCTGTCAGGCAACCTGGAAAAAAAGGAAACGTCAAAAACGTGCTCAATACCATGTCAATTTTATCCATTTTGTGTTTGAACCGGATGCAGAGATAAGTCCATCTGTTACTGTTTTGACTGAGAATACTCGATCAAATCAGTATATTTATTGGTTAAATAAACAGCTGTAGAAAATCAAGAGCGATTTTTAGTAAGTGATGGCTGGGACATTGGGGTTTGGGGAGGTTTGCAATTATTTGAAGTATAGCGAGAAAATGACGAAAATCTTTGCGGATTATATACACGTATTAAAAGRTGCATTTGGCGTAATGAGAGATTATTCAATTTCTGCATTCACGAATTTATTGCCGTGTGCGTTATTTGCGATACATACGATATATGACGGGATCTTTTTCGCATTATTTTTTTCGTTGAGGGATTCAGAGTCCTTCGTCCCTTTTCCATTTTATAGTGTGCTTTTAGTCTAGTAGTCAAGTATCAAAGTATTACACCTGACACAATAATTGCTGATTCTCTGTGAACKGWTTCTATATAAAGTAAATAATTGAATGGTGAAATATCCATGTATTTCAGTGTTGTGTGTTTGAGTTTTGAAGGTTTAATCTTACAATTCTAATGATAATGTCAAGGGAGGTCTCATTAGATGTACGAACTTTGAAACAGTCGCTCAAAAATGTTTTCATGAACGCCATCTGGGAATATGGTTATTGACTACATTGCCAAGTCGATAAATTTAATGTCATGAAATCCTTCAAATTATTGTGTCAGGTKCCACTTTGACTGAAAAATAGAAACATTTGGAGTACTCGGTTAGGGACTGYGCAATATTTATCAGAAAGTTAACTACTACCCCCCTTCGAAAACGAAATAAATTACTCTCTGAACCATACCCCCAACCCCCCACCACGTGAATTTCTTTATTTATTATTCATGAATGAAGAGTTTCGCAATCGTGGCACGCTTTTCTTGGGACGTTTTCCACTTGAATAAGTATTTGGCCAAAAAGCACAGAGTCTGACACCGTTGATTTTTCAGTTTCCAATCAAAATTCTAGTTAATTTTAGGTGTTGCCCCCCTTTTTAAGCACATAAAATTAGATTTTGCCCCCGCCCCCTCTGGATTCTCATCCCCCCTCCCCCCTCCTGATAAATATTGCGCAGTCCCTGTCCCTTACGTGGTACCTCGTTCTTGTTGTGTGAGGATTTTGCCTTCGCATAACCATTTCATCAAGTCCTCGTTTTGGTGATTAAAATACCAATCTTCAAGATGTTCTTCAACTTTCTCCAAGAGATGGATACACTAAAATATAATTCACAATTATACTACACAGGTTTTGAACTAAAGCCATGAATTGAACACGGYGATAATTCTACTCCTAGCTAGTCGCCATCTTGCTTCGCTGCAAAAGACACGTGACTTTACTTTTGAAGATGGCGCAGGGAACTGCAAAAAGTGTAAAGCTGATGGCTGATAGTGAAGGTGATGGTRATTATGATAATGATAAAAAGATTCTTTTACCTCAAATTTGACTCTAGTAATTTCATGAGTGTAGTCATCGATGATGTCGTCTGGCAGCTCAAAGTTGAGYTTGACTTTCGATTTTTTGGACATGTCGTTGAACACTTCACGGAGATGTCCTACGGCTGAGGAAGATATATAYATGTGTTTTCAATCTTCTGTCAACATCAAAGACCATACAAGAGCATGTGCAATCCTCGTGGCTTTCCCACATGGCTTAGCGACTTCTTTTTCATCTAACTAGTTATCATGGGACTCCGGTGAACTTATTGCCAAAGCTCATCAAAGAAATTTTCACGTGAGTTATACATAATGAGGCAATCTTCTTTAGTAGTTTCTTATTACACTACAGCGCATGCCCTTGTAAGATCCGACACCCTATCCCACATGACTTAGCATCAGAGTTTTAAAGTTGAATATTCGCATCCATAATATTCGGTCAATTAATCAGTACTGTTAAGTTTCTATACCTCCTCTGATGTAGGGGAATTCTGGGCCAGCTCTAGCTTGGTACAGTCTCATTCGGTCACACAGATTGTCTAAGACTTCCATGAAACGAATTTCTCTAAAATAAAAAATCAGATCGAAAACTTTGTTGGATAATTCAGTTTGGAACTTAATTTCAGCGACGAGTGGACCATGTTGTCTAATGTAATATTTTTTTTATCATACATGTTGAAAATCTACTGACTGTGTTTAATGCTGCTTCTAGTGTTGGGCATCGTCCATTACAATGTCTAGAGGACGCGAAGACATGCAAGGTTCTAAGCTAATGTGAAGTTGATATAATACGATATAATGATAGATTAGTTGACTTAGCGAAATGTGTTTTAATGCACAACATAATGATTCGGCCATTTTCAAGATGGTGGACTCATTGTTCTCCGAAACTTGATGCATGTATTATATTTCTCCACAGGAATCCCGTCATTGATTACTTACGATGTTTGATAGTTGATTTTCTTATCTTCACTAAGATCCATTGAATAACCTTTATGGATCCCCTCTTTATTATTGGTGACTTTCATCTTTTCAAGAAATTCTGTTACCAGCAGTCTGCAAACTGAAATGAGCAACTAGATGTCAAGTACTTTGGTTTCTTAATTTTTACTGAATCGGTTTTGCCTTCAACGCAGCCGACACTAAAAAACAACTGCACAGGACACGTTTTTATAAAGTTAGATTTTAGCAAAATTAATGAGATGATTCAAAAAATTGTATGAATAAGTAGCACGACATCTTTCAAAAATAAGTAGAGAAAACGTCAATTGAACATAAAACAATAGAAAAAAGCTCTCTTTCTAAACGTCAATCACTAATTCAACTATGTTCCGACCGACTTAAGTGATTTTTTCCATTTTGTACTGACCTTGGCATTTTGTAGGCCGCAAATGAGCCGTGCTTTGGAATTTAGTAAAATAAGGATTCTTAGCTTTAGTATCTTTTTGCTCTTGGATGCTTATTTTAAGCAAGGCCATGAAAAGCAGCGTCCAATAATGACTACCCCTTGACATTGTCGTGAAACACAACTCAACGAAGGTGAAAAATTTTAACCAAACTTCAGTTTTACATGGAACGGATTGATTGGACATTCGCGTCTTCTTTGTTACGATATAAATCAATCGATAAATCACTGTTTTAATTTTGTTGTGAGATGTTTGCTCATGTTGGACAGCTAAATAAACAAAAATGTAAACGAAACTCAAGACTGTATTTTTTTCCACGTTTTGTAGCTATATTAATTGTGTTTGCAATGAAATGAAATTAGTTCTTTCTATCTTAACTATGTTTTCAGATTTTTAAATTCATAATTGATATTATGACAAATACTACATTCTGATTGGTTACTGAAAGATGCTGTATTCATGACAGATCGTGGTTGCATTAAGAAAAGTGAGAAAGGTCGAATAAAATCTCTTTGTTCTTATTTCAAATTTTTCCTACAGTCTGGTGCATACTAAAACAACTGTAGCAATCGGTCTCGTTTTGTTGGACTACGACTTTAAAGTCCATAGTATGGACTATCAAGGGTCGAAGTACACAAGACCACTATCTCTTCATATTTTAAACCTCAAGTAATAATGGCTAACRATGTGATAGCCTTAATTATGGGTTATTGGCATCCTCTGATTGTATTATTGTATTTGCTTACGTATTTGAAACTTAAAAGCTGTACAATTCAAAAATTAGCGGCTAATATCATTGCTTTTACTTTAAAAAAAACAATAAAGAGAATTCAGGATTTGTTTGTGAATGTTAATACATTTTAGCCACATTTTCGCCTGTTTATTCACCTGCAAGATAATAATCAAATGAAAACTCTCCACGAAGTTCCTTGTTGACTCAATTAATCATTTTTACTCTATACTCGATACTTAACAAAGTTGTTTCATAACTGTGGACATGTTGGCTATCATATTCCCATTTTACTTGATAATCTCTGCTCAGTGCTCAGAGTTGGACATTACTATAGATGACTATGAAATTATTGATGGAATACGTGTTCTTAAAGAGAAAATAGTTCAAGGTGAAAACAAGGATGAAGTCATTAACAAGGAAGATGTGAAAGGCAGCGAAGACAATGAGGAARTAAGTGATGACGGCGATGATAACGATGAAGAAGAGATGTACGATGATGTATTAAGTGAAGACGACGCAACAGAGGAAGACGAAGAGATCACCAGACATTTGCCAACTGATTGCCATGGTAATGACATTTAACCTCTCATCCTCCCATTTGTTCATCCTTTCATTAATCCACCATCCCCTCACCACAATCCATCCATCTCCTATTCTATTTCTATTTTTCCCATTTGTTTATTTTGTAATTTATGTGTTATATGTTTTAATCTGGTTAGTGTGTAGATTGGTTGTGCTAGAACTACAGCACAGATTGGCTCATTTTGGCCGAGTACGGAAAGAAAGAGAAAGCAAACCGCCTATATACTATAAAGAGTGAGTTGTTAGTTATATCCCACATGCATAATTAGTAACTTARAAACTTGGAAAAAGCTAAGAAAGAGCCTTTTGTTTTATTAAGTCATGCCAAGTAAACTAACGAAATATTCTATGTAAACTATAATCACTCATGGACAAAGAGGAATGGAAAACTGTCTTGGCGCTGGATGATCTTTTGACTGTAGACAGAAATAATAAATCAT